TAAATATGTAAAAGTATTCATATAGAATATCATGCAAATTATAAAGTTCATGAATAAAATTTATATCTCTATCGATTTTTTAGCCGTAATATCATGTAATTTATATATTTTAGCACCTTATAATTATTATTAAATTAAGATTTAAAATTTTATATTTGTATGACTTACAAACAACATTAAAGATCTTCATATATCCATAAATTAAAGACTAAATAAATATTTAAAAAATCGTGACTTTATAATTTTTTTAATTTATATATATATATATATATATATAACATAACATTAATTTTATATTAAAATTTATACTTTCACAAAGTAATATCCAATAAAAATTTATATTTGCTCTCAAAAAAAAAATATGTATAAATTGTCTATTTTACTGAAATTAAAATTTAATTAGAAGCTTTACTAATTATGAAATTAAAAATTCTATTATTTACAATTAAAATTATTTAATTATAAAATTTTAAAAACCAATAATAAAATTTATTTTAGAAGATTGAAATTTTTTTTCTCATTAAATATGGTATGGAAAAGTTTTTTGACCATTTTGTATTTTCAATAATAGCTCTTGAAATATTTGTAGTATACATTCTATGAATGTGTTATATAATTATATATATATATATATATATATATAAAAGTCAGACTTTTAGAAACTAAATTTTCATTGTGAAAGTGAAAAAAGTCATGCAATTTGCACTAATGGGTTTGTACCATATCATCATGTTTGGTGCTATGAATTTTTAGACTTTTTGACTTATTAAATCACCTTAAATCGCGGAATAATAAAATAATACATGAAGGACGACGACGAAGCGTCTGTCGACAAAAGAATTACTCTAAGATGATCGTTTCATGACTATTGAGAACGAATCAAATCAGATAATTCTATTTCTCGATCTTTCTGACTTGTTCTTACGGAACTAACGTCGAAAAGATTGATTAAAAAAAATCAGTCATTCATGACTACTGATGAAGTATGAATGCGATTGTCTCGTAATATTTGACGTTAATAGATTTAAAACTTATATCATTGGCGTTTTAGTAAAGTTCCCGTTAATTTTAAAATCCACGGTTCGAACTCTGCAATTTTCATGTGTTATTTATAACGAATTCGTGTCACTAGAAAAAAGAACTTTTTACTCTTTCTTGAATGGCTTCAAGAATTTAGCAGCAGCAAGATCAGAAACACAGCAGAGGATATCGCCATCTTCAATTCGCTCGCCATGGAAATTTCAAATTCCTCTGCAATCACAAACCAGAATCCTTTAGTTTGTATTTCGAACTCGCGGTTTCTACGAAATTAGATCTCCTTGATAATTTGATACAACGAACACAACATGATAGCAACAAAACAAGTAACAGAGGGAAAATCTGTAATAATTCATTATTCTCAGTGTGATACCAAATAATACAAGCTAATTTTTCTGTGAATATGTATGCATAATGTGTTCATGATAAAATCAGATTTGAAAATAATCTCGTAAATTATTACAAATCAATTGATTTTTCTTCTTCATCATCTTCCTCTTCATGCCTTACTTTTATGAGGAGGTATACTCTGTTCATTCCAGAAGAAATTCCCTGGATCAACTGCAGTCTTCACCTTCACCAACCTATCAAAATTATCACCAAAGTATTTTCTCCCATAAACTTCACCTTCTTCAAAGATTTTCCCACCATTTGTGTTGGTTCCAATATCTAAATCTCTGTAATTCAGATAACTACTTCTGGGATTTTGAGAAACCAGAGGTGTCATGAACCCATAGAGAGTTCTAATCTCATTCATAAACTGCTTGTCTGCATCATTCCCTGGTTCTTCCCAGTTCACAGAATACTGAATCTTGTAAAGCTTTTCTCTGTGTGGAAATGGAGTTTCAGTTGAAGAAAACTCTCTCATTCTCCCTCCATAAGGGTTGAAAACCAAACCCACTTTCCCAATCTTGATCATCTGCTTGAATAGACTCTCCAAATCTGATTTCCCAATCTCCTTACCCACATAATCTGATTTCCTCTTCAAGAAATTTGCAGAGTCAAGATTTCTGTCAAGTAAAACATCTGGGGAAATCTCAGTGACATTATCAAAATTTGCCCACCACAGAACAGATTGAACCCATGTCATCTCTGTGCAATTCTCCTTCTTCAAACCCATTTCAGGAAACTCCTTTCCCAAAAGGGAAACCACTTCATCTGCTTTACCCAGAAACAATGTGATAATAGTAGTCCTGATTGTTCTCTTCTTGTTTCTAGTAACAGGTTGAATTAGAACTCTCATGAACAAATTTGGGTCGGTTTTTGGAGCAACGAACTGCCATTTATGAGTTATGTCCAAAGCATTTTGATCCATGAGATATTCTAATCTGAAAACTGTAACAGTTTCAGGAACAGGAACAAGTTTGATCTTATAAGATAAAATCACACCAAAGCTTGCTCCTCCTCCTCCTCTGATCGCCCAAAACAGATCTTCCCCCATTGATTCTCTATCAAGAATTCTTCCATTCACATCAACTATCTTCGCATCCACCATATGATCAACAGACAATCCATGTTTTCTCAGTATATTTCCATACCCGCCGCCGCTTATATGTCCGCCGGCACCGACCGTCGGACAAACTCCGGCGGGGAACCCATGAACTTTACTCTTCGTCCAAATCGCGTGGTACACTTCGCCAAGCGTCGCGCCGGCGCCGACCCACGCTGATTCTTCCTCCATGTCTACGGTTACCGTTCTCAAATTGTACATATCGAGGATGAAGAAAGGGGAATCGGAGACGTAGGAGATCCCGTCGTAGTCATGGCCGCCGCTGCGGATTTTGAGTATAAACCCTACTTTCTTTGTACAAATTACAGCAGCCCGGACATGGGATTCCTCCAACGGGGTTATAATAATAATGGGTTTCGGCGCTGAGGAGGTATTGAATCGGGCATTACGAATATAAGCTCGAAGAACAGAGGTGTAAGAAGAGTTTGTTTTGGCGAAAATGGTGTTTGAGATTTCTGGATTTGTTTCCTTGATCATGCAGTTCAGAAAACTTTTGTGAACAGAATCTTCGTTTGCAGAAGATGAGTGAAGAAGAGTGAAGAGAAGGAGACAGAGTGGAATGAAGTCTATAGGTTTCGCCATTGTCGGTCTGGTTTGAAGGTTTTTGAAATGATTGGCGTTGAGTTCGGTGGTTTCCTGATTGGTTTATAAAGGAGCGTTATTACGGCTTAGTTAGTTTCCCGGAAAATCCCAAATAGGAAAATAGAAAAAATCTAATGAGACGGAGGAATCCACGGGGGAGACACATGACGTGGTATTATATTTTTAATTAGTAATTTAATAAAAATTAATTATGTTTTAAATGATTTAATTATTTAATTATGATTATTCGTTTTAATACCATTAAATGCGAATAAAGTTTTTAAATTTAATAATTCTTTTTTTAAAAAAAAAAAAACCCCACCAAACATTCTTAATTATTAAAATTAAAATATTAATCCACTAAAAAAATCACTAATCAGTTAATTTATAATTATTAAAATTAAAATATGTTTATTTTATGTTTAAAACACTATTATTTTATGATTAAGATATCACTAATTTATTACTAATAAAATTTTAATACTTATAAGAAAAAAAATAAAATTTATTAAAATTTTATAAAATTTTTTATATTTTTTATTAAATTTTTGAGACGAATAATAATTATCAAACATGTTTTAAAATTTTGATTTTTTGCACCTTTCATGGAATAACAAGATTCCATATGTATAGAATTAATATCACTTCCCACCAATCACACATTTTTAAATTTCATAATTTTCTTTTAATACAAAAAAGTCAACTTGATCATCTTCTCCCCAAAGAAAAAGTCAACTCGATCGAGTTTTTGTAAGGAAAAATAAGTCAAAGTATTCCAATTCCAAAAACTTAAATCCAAATTTAAAAAAAAAATCAAAATAAACCCGATATGAAATAGCAAAAAGAATTAATTAATTTGAACGTAATGTTTATTTGTTTAATAATATTTCGATTTGTTATTTGATTTGTTTCATATACATGTATTATATATACTATATATTTTTTTTTATCCATATACTCTCATCACTCATTTTTCGTCTCTTTTAATATTTTTGGCGTTCAACACTTAGAGTCATTGTTTTAACATTATTTCATCTTTGCATATGATGATATTATAATATACATTATAAGACAAGCGTTTAGTGCAGGAAAAACTAGTTTTATTTGAACTTTATTCGATATGAACATTGGAGAGCTGGACGAGAATTTTGTCTCTTCTATGAAACATATACTCCAAACTTTACGCTAACCAAATTTAAATGTATAGCTACCATACTTTGTAAATCTCTAAATTATTTTGCTTGGTAGTAATCATCTACTCGATGAAATGCTACAAATCTACTAAAAACCTTTTCATTGACATAAGTTATCAATTAACTCCCAATTCCGCCGAGGTCCATCAAGATATATAAGTTAGCACCATGTTTTGAAGGTACAATTTTGTGGTTTTAGTGACCATACTCTATAACTCTCTTGATTTGAAAGTCATTTGTCCTACCGTTATTCACTTGTATTCTATTATTCACTTTCTACAGGATATCATCACTCAACAAAATTCTACCTGCAAGAACACTACACCATATATATTCTAGTGTAAATCTTAAAATGCAGTCATAAAATCTCCAACATAATTGTATTTAATCTTAGGTAACCTTGCACTTAGAGTGTGAGAATACTCGATGAATCTCCAAACTTGCCTTGCAAGCATTACCTTATTGAAACTTTAGAAATCCCAAAAGCCTATACCGCTTGTTCTTTTACTCACACGTATCACAGACCATTTAAGTCAACGAATAAATCTCTGACTATCTTTGTTTTTCCGTCAAAAAGTCGATCCAATATATATTCTAATATAAATCTTAAAATGCAGTCATAAAATCTCCATCATAATTGTATTTAATCTTAGGTAACCTTGCACTTAGAGTGCGAGAATACTCTATGAATCTCCAAACTTGCCTTGCAAGCATTACCTTGTTGAAACTTTAGAAATCCCAAAAGCCTATACCGCTTGTTCTTTTACTCACACGTATCACAGACCATTTAAGCCAACGAATAAATCTCTGACTATCTTTGTTTTTCCGTCAAAAAGTCGATCCAATATATATTCTAATATAAATCTTAAAATGCAGTCATAAAATCTCCATCATAATTGTATTTAATCTTAAGTAACCTTGCACTTAGAGTGCGAGAATACTCTATGAATCTCCAAACTTGCCTTGCAAGCATTACCTTGTTGAAACTTTAGAAATCCCAAAAGCCTATACCGCTTGTTCTTTTACTCACACGTATCACAGACCACTTAAGCCAACGAATAAATCTATAACTATCTTTGTTTTTCCGTCAAAAGTCGATCCATATATATTCTAGTATAAATCTTAAAATACAGTCATAAAATCTCCATCATAATTGTATTTAATCTTAGGTAACCTTGCACTTAGAGTATGAGAATACTCGATGAATCTCCAAACTTGCCTTGCAGCCATTACCTTATTGAAACTTTAGAAATCCCAAAAGCCTATACCGCTTGTTCTTTTACTCACACGTATCACAGACCACTTAAGCCAACGAATAAATCTCTAACTATCTTTGTTTTTCCGTCAAAAGTTCGATCCAATAGACTCTATTTGATTATAGCCATTACGAGGTAATACTTAAACTACGACTTTCAGCATATATTAATATTTAACAACAAAATACTTTATATTATGAAAATAATTGTTACTATATATATTTTTAATGAGGTTTTAGTTACACTAATTAAAGTTGAGCTATTAAAAAAAAGAATTTTTTTTTTCTTCTAAACTAGATCAAAACATACATAGTCAAAATCTCTTGGTTCTTCCAATATTTTATTTCCCCATGTTTATATTTGGTTTATATATATATATATATATATATATATATATATAAGCATCTTATCACCTTTTAGTCTTTAATTACGGAACAAGCAACCTTCCAATCATACAAAACTCAAAGTCTTCACCAAGGAAAAAGTCAAACGTGCATACCAACTAATTCCAAATAAATTATTCATCCAAATTCATTGGTTCATTGCCGATTGTTAATAAGACTTCAAGCATTCTAAAAGTCACAATCCCAAATTTTCCAAGTTGGATCGTAAGTGATTTTGATACATAGAAAAATTATGTAAGTATTTTAGAATTTGAAGAGTTTTATGATTGAAAATTCAAAATTCGTTTTTTAAATTTTCCCGAATCTAAACTTTTTAATAATACGAGGCGTAAATTTTAACGAAGAAATGATAAGTTTTAAGTTTACATATAATTTTATAAACGATTAAAATAAAATATTCCCGATTACGTTAAACAAAATTTAATTATTGCATATAAACTATCGAAAGAATTACCAATATTTATTAATTCAATCTTTACTATTCGATATAAAATTTTATCGTTATTTAAATTAAATATGTGTAAATTTTAAAATGAATTTAGTAGAAATTTTAGATTTGTTATTAACACAATCCCTAAACTAGTTTTTTTTTTCAATTAACTCTAAACTAATTTATTTTATTTACTTTCTTTACTCATTTTGATAAGTTTAATATTGAGTAGTGTCAAATTTTATTAAAATATTTATTTTTTCCGTAAGTCTTATGAATATTTTTACATTACTAGTAGTAGTATTTCTACTAGTTTTTTTAAAATATTAATATTCTATATTTGTTATTATTATAATTATATTATATTATGTTATAGTAAGTTGAGATGCATTAAGATATTATTAGTCAAATAAACTACGTGCCCAACTTCTACTCTTACTCAATAACCCAAAACATAATCGTTACCATCTTTGCTTGGTTATATGTCACATGTCTCATATAATAAACATTTTTGGTATATATTAAAAAAATTAGTACAATCAATGGTTTAGTGTAATTAAAATATTTGTACTTTATTTAAAAATTAAGGATTAAATTTTTTTACGAATATGATCAATTTATAATAATTGATTTAGTAAAATTAATGACTTATAACTTAGCAAAAACCTCTCAGAAATTTGTGAAAGGTGAATGTTGATGG